CAGGCCTAGTCTCGGGGCTTTACATGCATTAATGCATTTAATTCCGGTGTGATTCAGCGAGGCAGGTGGCAGGTGGTGCTATTGTCCCCTAGGCTGTTGTCACCTGGAGGAAGCAGGCACCATTTGGTTGGTGAAGCGAGGAGCCAATCCCTGAGCCTGGGCGATCTGGCTCTAAAATCAAGCTCCCTTCCACGACACTAATCCAGCATGAGTTGTACAGAGTGCTGGGTAGAGTCGGGGCCTAATGCATGTCTGTTCTCTCTGGTTCATTAAGCTTTGGCCGAACTGCTTTTATGGCCAGCGCTTTTCCTCCCTAAGCATTTTCATTTTGCCCTCCCATCACAGCTTTTCAAATCCCCCGAGAGATGGCTGCAAATTTATGACCCTGGTCAGGTACCCTGGAGGGCCAGAAAGATCCCCGGCCCGGATGGGGAGGCAGTGGTGGGGCAGGAAGGCCACAGGTGCCTGTGACCCTTTACCGAGGCAGTCACAGAAGCACCCTGTGCCTCGGGGTCTCCCTTTGTCAGATGGAGCCTGGATTTACCACGTGTCCGTATTTTTCACGCACTATCGTGGTGACCCTTTGAACAACCCTGTGGGGCATGTTTCACTCGCACTCTCTTCACAGACTGGAAAGAAAACTCTGGTGTGGTTTTTCCAAAGTCCACAGCATGGACTGGGCCTCAAACCCAGGTCTTGGTTTTCCTGGTTCACAGCCAAGACTCTGAATCCCTGGCACTTGGTCCCCAATCTAAAGATGGGGACCTGGGATGCCTGCCCTGGAGCTGGGCACATGCTCAACCAGACCCCTGAGTGCACAGAGGGGCCCAGGGCTTCTGAGTCGGTCCCCCATTTTGCTTGGTGATAACACACAAAGGAAGAGCCTCGACAATGACACACAAGGGCCAGAGATCCCAAAGGACCCCAGGTGGCGCCCCTGCAGTCAGCACCATAACGGCGGGTGACACAATTATGTGGTCTCTCAGTGGATGCTCCCAGCATGCCTGGCGCCAGGCCAGGCTCTCTCCCAGGGTCACCTGCTTTGGGTCCTCTGTTCTAACTCCCTCTTCTAGATGGGGAGCCCTCTTCTAGATGGGCTGTATCACCCACACAGCTATCACCACTTGGCAGATTGGCTGCCAGAGGTCACAGCATGAGGGACCTGCCTGGGTCTCTGAGACTCTGAAACTCAGGCTGGGAACGGGGTGAACCAGGGTCCAAACCTTGACTTTGTCACTTTCACCCCTTTGACAAATAGTTACTGATAATTTAGCTGCGTGAGCTTGGGCAAGGGATGTCACCCCTCAGAGCCTCCATCTCCTCTTCTGTAAACAAGCCTTAATGTCACTCAGAAAACCTGTTCCCTCTCTCATCTGAAAATGCTAGATACTTCCTTACCCAGCTTCTCCCATGGCTAGGGCATGAGTATGAACTGATCCTGGCCAATGGGGTTGTCAAAAAGTCTGCTAAGATGCTCCTAGGAAAGTTTTTCCCTAAAGGAAAAAAAAAAAAAGTAAAGCAGAATGCCTCTCTTCAGGAGTTGGGTAGACATCACAGGGCTGGAACTGGGCAGCCATATTGTGATATGAGGCATCAAGCGTGAGGACCAAGCCACTTTGCATAGGTTGCAGGAGTAGAGAGATGGAAAAAACCTGAAATCCTAATGGCATCATTGAGCTTTAAATTCAACCAGAAACCAGCTACCATGGAACTTCAGGATATATGAGTTGATGCATCTTCTTTCTTTTTGAAGCTGTTTTGAATTTTCTATTCTGTTACTTGCAGCCCAAAGTAGGCCTACCAGGCACACTACCTAACTGGATTGCTGGAAGGATTTCAATGAGACAGCACATATGAAATACCACTAATCAGCACAATAAACAGCAGCTACTCTGGAAATGAGGGAATTATCCCTGGGCTTTAACCCCGAGGAAGGCCTGACAAGCCAGCTCCATCCACTCCTACTGAGAAACGCCTGTTGAGTTTTACCGGAAAACAGAAGCCCACGGTGTCCCCAGCACTGAGACACTGTCAGCCCAACGGGGACAACCCCATCTTCCAAAGAAGAATCAATCACGCTGCCTTTTGCCTAATGGATTTTGATTTTCACTCCCTGGTGGAGAAGCCCAGGGTCTGTGCTGTGGTTTGTCCCTGAGCTGCCAGCGTGGCCCATCAATTATTAACGGCGTCACTCAGAGGAGAGGAGGGCCTGCTGCAGCTCAGCCCACCCTGCCGGGAAAGGACTCTGCCCTTCATCCCGGAAGACAGCAACGCCCACCTACTATGTGTGAGGCTCCGAGCCTCATGACTACCTGGCAAGGCGGGGCCTTGGTCTCTATTTCTCAGTTCGAGGCTGGGCCTAGAGAGGTAAAGAAATTTCCTAGGACCAGGGAGGTGGAGGAGCTGAGCCTGACCCCTGATCTCTCCTTTTCTTAGACAACAGGATGTGGCCAGTTTCGTACCTCACCAGTACCCGCTACCGTCCTCCACGCGGTCTCTCAGCCACGGCCTGGGAGAAATTCCCATGGGCCCTGCTGTTCTGCCCAGCAAGGGGTCGGAGCTGGGGGACTCGGGTGGCCAAGTGCAGATGCCTGAAAGAGGGCTGAGCTTGGGGGCTGAGGCACAGGTGGACGATGAGGAAAAAGTGACAGGTGGCTGATCACCCTGAGTCGGTGGCTCATTCTCTCATTCTTTCATTCCACATGTGGTTGTCAGAGCTCCTCTGTGTCAGGTACACGGATGCGTTGGGGGCACAGAGCAGTGAATACAATTTAAGGAGTTCATATTCTTATAGGTATGACACAAAGAAACACAAGGCCAATACAATATGAAGTGGGGCTTCAGGCCTATGTGGAAAAGACACTGATGCGGCAGAGTGGGGGACACAGAGCTGCTTGAATGGAGAACAAGGACAAATGGCTGGCAGCAGAACAATTAGGAAGAGCACTGCAGACAGCAAAAGCAGCATGAGCAAAAGTCCTGTGGTAGAGTAAATCCCAGCCTACTGGAGATGGCCAGGAGGCCAGCAGGGCAGAACCCAGTGAGCTGGAGAGTAGAAGAGATGAGCTCAGAGTTTAGACATCAGATCCTGTAGGCCTCATGTGCCACAAAGGAGTCTGGATTTTATTCTGAGTCTGATGGGAAACCTCCAGAGGATTTTAAGCAGATGAATAATGTGATCCAATTTTCATTTTGAAAAGCTCACTTTGGCTACTATGCGGGGAATGGATTGGGAGGGGCAAAAGTGGAAGCAGGGAAACAGAGGAGGAAGCCGTGGTACTTAATCATTACGGAAGAACAGAGTGTTCACAGTCACACTTGGGTTTGAATTATGGCTACTCCTGTCTGCCTGCTGTGTGACCTGGGATAGGTGCTTCACCTCTCTGAGCGCCACTGTTTGTCAGGTATTTGTTCAGTGGCAGTCGGGATTTCCAATGAGCCTGTCTGCTGTCTGTCTCAGTTCCAACTGCAGAAAAATCCGAGATGGTCCATTTGCCAGAATGCAAGCTGACAGCCCAGCCTGGGTTCACAGAAAGGTCATGGAGCTCCGAAGCCCCGGCCTCTGAGCCGATTAGCCCAAGGGAGAGGAGAAGCTGTTTACACCCGCAGACAGAGCGCCTCTCGCAGGCCCGAGCGCCCGCGGCTTGCTGCCAGCGCCAACTCAAACACAGCCCTCTGCTTCTTGGCAGAGAGGGCAGAGCCCCCACATCCTGCCCTGTCTCCGTCTCAGGGACAGGACGGGAAGGAGGAAGAGGCACGTTTGGGCCTAAACAGGGTGGGCAGTGGGGGAACCCGTCTCAGACCTGGAAATAGCAAAATAAGTCTGTTGGTCCTAAGCCGGTTAAGGGTGAGCAACTCTGGCTTAAGGCAGAGGCTGTGTGGACAGGAAATCGGGTAGGATTACGGCCCGAGGCAGCCTGCAGTTCCCAGGACCTCCATGTCCTCTTCAGCATCCCCAGGCAAGAAGTATGTGGGTTCCTTCCATCTCCAAGCAGCCGCCCCGCTTCTCACTGAGCAGCTAAGCTCGGGAAAGGACGCCAGAGTCCCCTTCGGGCCAGACAGCAGTGAGGGGCAGACTGAGCCACCAAGTGCCTGTAGAGAGGCTGGGCTGGACGGGAGCCAGCCCTCACTGATAATGGTGATGCCTCCTCCCTCGAGCATTTGCCCAGAATCGATTTTCCTGCCCCCACCCCCAGTTTGGGCCCCTCTGTCAGAGAGTGAATTCCATTCTCCACGGCTTTCCCAAGTGGATCTTGCTGGACCCCAACACCAACCTTTCTGGTTCCCGAGCTTGCCTTGGGCTCCTTCCCTTCCCTCTGACGGCCCTGGATACGCGTGGTCATTGACTCCTGACACCCAGAGCCCCGGGCACAGGACAGGCGCCTCTGGGCCCCAGCCCACCTCAGAGGAGTCACACACCAACAGTGGCCCCTGCCCTGCCCAGAGACGACCCCACCCCGCTCCCACCTGGGGGGGTCACACTCGGTCCTGCCCCTCTCTGCTCCCTTACTTGCCAAACGGCCTCACTATTCTCTCCAGTTTTAAATGCACAAGCATTCGCAGCCGATGCCCCGTGTATTCCATGCCACCCCATGTGTCTCTTCCCTTTGTTACTCTTACTTCTATGAAAACTGCCTGACGGCATCTTGGTGGCCTTTCTCCTTTCCTGGGGCAAAGCGGGGTTGTAAAGCTGAAGGCCCGCCCACTCCAGCCTGGGCCTGGGGCTTCCCAGGGAACCAGACCCAACCTCGGCCCTCTCCAGCCATGTCCTGTTTCTGCGTTCTCTCCCCCAGGGCCGTAGCTTTTAGTAAGAACCTGTAAATCGTTTTCCCCAACAAAATCGGGGGACACGGTAACGAATCAGAGGAGGGGTGAGGGTGGCCGGCGGGAGTCCAAGGTTATCGTGGTCACAGCTAGGGACTGAGCCAGAGACCCCCAACAACAGCCCTCGATCTGGAGACCGGGCTCTGCCCTGCACCCCACAGCGCCGGCCCACTCACCTTGGCGGCCACGGAGGAGTTGGGCTTCTCCAGCAGGTCCCAGAGCTTCTTCCTCTTCTCCGCGCAGCACGTGTTATCGAACTCCTCGCCCTCGCGCTCCCGCAGCGTCTCGGCCTCGCGCTTGAGCTCCTCGTTCATCTGCTCCTTCTTCTGGTGGTAGCGGGCCTGGCAGCAGGACTCCAGGTAGATCTCGTCGATGCCCCAGTAGTCGAGCTCCTGGCTGAAGCTGAGCGCGCACATCTCCTCCATCATGTGCAGCCGCCCGGTGCGGTAGAAGTTGAGGATGGAGGTGAAGGCGCCAGGGTGGCGGTCGAAGAAGTACTCGTTGTCGTCCAGGCTGTAGTCGTCGCACACCTCGAGCAGGGAGTCGTGCGTGTT